ACTGAACTTAACTGACTCAACTGGCAGCCAAATTATAGACAGTGAACAGTATTACTAGGTGGGTATACACTCATTACAACAATCAAGCACATGAGATCTAGAGGACAGCATTTGCCCAGGAATAGCTCTAGGCAGGTGAGAGAGGATGGGAAGGAAGAATGAAGGGAAAGCATGTACTCAGAGAGGAAGTGGGAAGAATGTTGTTACAGTATGAGGATTAAAGTAAATGTCACAAAACAGAATGCACAGGGATTGTTGAATGGAAAACCAATTTGCTCTCTAAGCTTTCACTCAAATCACAATTGAAAAAAAAATCCTTCCTAAATATTTAATATTTCATTTTAAAAATGTAAACAAAAACCGTTCATCTCTGAATGGCTATTTATTGTACATGAATAGTTACTGATTATATTAAGAAATAAAAATATAAGAGAAAGTTTGGGCTTCACAGGTATCTGAAGAAACAAAAGATATGAGAGTTATATAGCAAAATGGGAAGTCTAAGGGCAAGTATGAACAATAAGCACCTTAACTGGAAAAGGAAGTAAAGTGTATGATGTCAGAAATGCCCTGAGGCTTAAAGACAAGTACTTCTAGGCTAGAGAATCTAATCAGGGCTAGCCAACTGGCAAGTGAGCATTCAAGGGAGCTGAATGGAACTTTAATATCAGTGTTAGGCAGGATTTGGGAAGAGAAGCTAGGGCAAGATAAAACAGAAAAAGAAGAGTTAGGATTGAAGACCAAAGGTGATTCCAGGATCATACAAATATAACATGGGGTTGTTAAATTAGAAGTCAACTAAGTGTTCTAATTTTATCTACTTATTTTTTCTGACTTTATACACAACAAAACATTAGCCAATTCAACTATTTCTACATGTGTAATTCAGTGACTCTGATTACATTCTTCATATTGTACCTGATGTCTCTTTTTAATTTTATTTTGTTATTGTTGAGAATATACATAGCAAAACATACAGCAATTTAACAGTTTCTACATGTACAATTTAGAGACGCTGACAACATTCTTCAAGTTGTGCAAACATTCTCACCTTTTCTAAGTTGTTCCATCCTGATTAACATAAACTCACTGTCCACTAAGTTCCTATCCAATCTTTCATACTGCTATTGTCAATTTGACCCCAAGTAGATATTTCCTAAAGGGCATAAGGCTCAAGGCAGGCTTTTGTTTGTTTTAGTAATTAAGCCAAAGTATTATTTTAAGATGACTTCAGAGGCATTTTTGGTTTAAGGTTTAAAGTCTATCTCAGGGCAAGAGTTTCAGGAATTCATCTATCCTCTGTGGCTCCAGAAAGTCTGGAATCCACTAGAATCTGGAATTCTGTTCTCCATTTCCCCCTCTTTTGACCAGGATTCTTCTATGGAGTCTTTGATCAAAATGTTCAGTAATGGTAGACAGGCATCATCCAGTTCTTCTAGACTTATTGCAAAGGAGGCAATTGTTCATGGACCTCTTTCAAGTGCTGAAGAACAAAGATGTCTCCTTGAGGATTAAGGTGCGCCTGACACAAGCCATGATATTTCCAATCGCCTCGTATGCATGTGAGAGCTGGACAATGAATAAAGAAGACCAAAGAAGAG